TTTTTTTCTTGGAAATACATGTGAAAAAACGCGGTCGTCTTATATTCAGGGTCTAGACTTTGACATGTCAATAATACACCCACAACACTAGGTGGCGCCAAATACGCATAAAATGAGTGTGCCATGAAATACGTAATGTAATGGTGTTGTAAAGATCGCGAGTAAAAAGAAAAGAGAAAGAAAACCTTACAGCTGCACGAGTCGTGACTGTCACGTTAGCCTGATGGGACCAAACTCCCTTTGTGATTTTAAAACGTAAGTCAGTACCCAGATTTGAAGACTACAGTAAGATTTAACTTCTCCTGTTAATAAGATTTTGGTAGGCTACTATTAGATGGATAGCCTAAATGTCCTAATTCAGATGGGAATTTTTTTTTTTAAATGGTATATCAAAAAGTGTTTATTTTTTAAATGTGATTGTTGGTACATTTTACCAGTTTTTACCATACTTTCAAAACAAAAATTAAAATAGGAAAAATATGCAATATGAAAATAATTGAAGACAAAATGTGTTTTACTGAGAAAAAACAAGATTTTGTTTTTAAAAAGCCTTTTTCCAAAAGGTACATCTGGAAAAAGGGGGGGGTCGTCTTATAATCAGGGTCGTCTTATATTCGGGCCAATACTCGGGCCAATACGGTATTATAAAACTGCTATGTGCAGTTCGACTAACGCCCTCTACTGGGTTACATGAATGTATTAAGAGCCTAAAGGAATAGTTCACCCATAATGCAAATCATCTCATGTCATTCTGAACCTGAATGACTCCTGCTCCTGTAAAACACAGAAGAAGATCTGTTTTATCTATATAATGAAAGTCAGTGTGGTCCAAAACAACTTAGTACATATTTTCTGTACATAATATCTTCTGTTGAGTTCCACACAGAATATAAATGCATACAGGGTTTGAACAACAAAGTGAGAGTAAATAATGACAAGATTTTCATTTTGGGGTGGACTATCCCTTTAAGGGCAGAGTCTATCAGTACACAGTCAGATCAAGCCATGTACTTGTCAGTAGCTACACTAAGTGAGCACTGCTTGGGTCAGAGAGCACAGAGACAATAAACAATGTGGTGGACTAATGATACAATACTGCCCCCTACTGGTTTGAACAAACTCATTTCAGTACATAGCTGAACACAGTGAAACACAGCTCTAACAAGGGTTCAGTTGAACTGCTTCTTAAAAGCATCACATAATACAGAACACACCAACAGAAAAAGCTTATTCCTTTGCTTCCTCTAAATTACCTCTGAATTAGCGGACACACTCAAAACAATGACCTTAATGATTGAATATCAATATTTTCTACCCTAAAAGCTTCTGACAAGACTCACCTTATGTATCTATATCAGGCTATTCGGTTCCAGTGCCACAAAATCTGACAATCTGCCACGCAAACTATACTATAGAAACACAAATCAGTTATATAATTTGAATTAATTATAAATGGCAAGTATATATTTATGTATTTTGACAGCTAAGAATGTATATGGGAATATTTTATTTATGAATATATGTTATATATGACTCCGTTTAAATAAGTAAATCTCCAAAATTACACCAATAGGAACTTTGGCCTGACCAACATTAGTGTGTGTAGAATAATATACTGTGTATCACAATAGCCCTGAATCCCAATGTATTTCTTTCTTTTTGTAAGCATAAGCATTGATTTTTGGTGGCGTTCAGCTGGGGATCCATATGTTCCTCGCATCAGTTTTCCATGAGAGAGCGCTGTAAAGCTTCCTGGATCATGGCTTGCTCGTCTGTGGAGTAATCCTATAATAAGATACAAGAAATATGTATTTACGTCTCAGCTCAGTCCACCGACCACCAATCACGGTCAGTCTCGACTTCATACTTAAAATGAGAATTCATATATTTTCACTTAATGTGTAATGCATTTATGATGTAAATACTACATTAAGCTGTTATATGCGCAATTGTTCATTTATTTATTTTTTGTGTGAAACCTTTCTGTTTGAGTTTGCTTTTATAAAGCTAGAAAAGCTAATCCCTATGAGCTTCATATGCATCATTCCATAAATAAATAAATAAAATATAATGCTGGTTGCCCTACTTATTTATTTGTTTTTGTTTCTTTTTGAACTTGAGCTGGTCCAGACTTTTGTAGTAATAGAGATTAGGTAATAAAAACCAGGTTCTGGACTGTTAAATAACTTTAATAAATTGATACTGCACTGCGGTTAGGTCAGACCAACTATTTATACCAAAGGTAATTATATATATATATATACACGTTATGTTTATTTACTGAATACTGAATTGGAGAATATATCCCATTTTAAATCACAGAAAAAGCAAACAGCAAGACTGATCCATGACTTATATCTATCCTTGAATAGCTAGATATAAAAGACATCTGAACAAGATTCCTTTTGACAGCACTATGACAATTTTGTTTTAGTTTCTTTGAGCATGGTAATGTTGTGATCTACTTACCACAAAGGTGTCATAGGAAAAAGCATGTCTCATTCTGAGGTGCTGAAAGAAGTCAGCGCTCCTGTAATTAGGGTCGCCCCAGGGCATTGAGGCACATATCGGACACACCTGCAGGAGTGGAGACAAGGGTCACAACCTCCCATTAACTCCTGACTCCACAGGTACTATTTCTACTAAGATTGTGTGATATAGCAAAAAAGTATATGCTTATGTATACCTTTTTAGTGATATTCAACATATAGCTATATGTAGATACATGCATTTTCATAAAAAGGCTTAAAAAGGTGACTTTCACAAATCAATAAACAGACTTGGCCACTTCTAGGAATTTTCACCTCCTCTCCTAGTTATCTCCAAGGTAATCTCAAACCCTACGGAGTCCAAGAAGCTCAGAAATGGCCTTGTAACCCTGATATACGGTGTAAATACAAACACAAATACAATTCAGAGCATTGTAAATGAGCTCCATTCACGAGCCTCACCACTGGACGCGGGTCATGTGCGTGTTTTGAGGTGCAGTGCTCCACCAGACCATCCTGGTCCAAGTTCTGTTTGCTACAGAAGGGACAGGTGAACGTATAACGGTTTGGCACGGAACTAAAGAAACAGGAGGAACAAGAAACCAGTGTGGATCAGTCAAGATGAAAATCAAACATAAAATTAGGGACACTTTTGACTAATTGTGACCCTGGAGCACAAAAGCAGTCTCAAGTCGCTGGGGTATATTTGTAGCAATAGCCACAAATACATTGTATGGGTCAAAATTATTGATTTTTCTTTTTTTTGCCAAAATCATTAGGATATTAAGTAAACATCATGTTCCGAACACAGAACAATAATGACAATTCATAGCAAGAGAGCGCAGACGCCAAAGCTGATGTGGATCCACTCATCTGAATCCCTCTGGAACTGTCTCAGATTTGCAGAAAATTGCAGTTGTTTGGCAAATAAATAATTTACAGACCGTTTCATATGCATTCCCAACATTTTAATTATGCAATTTCAATGTTACACCTCAAATGACAAGGGACTGTTCATATTTAGCCTCAGATGGCTTCAGTATGCATAGTATTTAGATAATATAGCTAATTTAATGCTATAATAAACACAAATGTGACCCTGGACCACAAAATGTATTATATTTGTATATTTGTACAATACATTGTATGGGTCAAAATTATTGATTTTTCTTTTTTTTGCCAAAATCATTAGGATATTAAGTAAAGATCATGTTCCATGAAGATATTTTGTACATTTCCTACCGTAAATCTCAACTTAATTTTTGATTAGTAATATGCATTGCTAAGAACTTCATTTGGACAACTTTAAGGCGATTTTATCAATACTTAGATTTTTTTGCACCCTCAGATTCCAGATTTTCAAATAGTTGTATCTCGGCCAAATGTTGTCCTATCCTAACAAACCATACATCAATGGAGAGCTTATTTATTCAGCTTTCAGATGATGTATACATCTCAATTTCAAAAAATTGACCCTTATGACTGGTTTTGTGGTCCACTTCAACTTTTTTTCTTATTCAAATTGGACTTAAGATCTGATCAGGGCTTTGAACTTTTGGTGTCATTAATGTGACTTTTTTCATATTTTGAAGAAAATGTTTAAACACTGAAAAACAGATATATTACCTGACAGTGGAAGGCTGGTTCTTTGAAATGGCCTTCATGCCTTCCTTGATAAAGTCTTGATATTTAGAGCAAACCCCTGTGTGGGTTCTCATGTCAGACAAAAGAACCTGGCGGAGAGTAGATTAAACAGTTTTCTTCTAGGAACACCTCAGACTCAGACAGCAAGCTCACGGACCACCCACAGTCTGTTCACGGACCATCTGATGCATATCACATACAAAACTGCAAAGCGCTTGTGAAATCCGAAAGCTCTAAACAGAATGCCTGATAGTACACAATTTCTACCTGGTCCACAGGTTTTGATCAGTCTGGCAGGAAACAAAAATTGTGGAGGAATAACTTTTTCACTGGAGTTGCCAAAGTAGCTTCAAACAAAGCTTGGAGAAGAACTGCTGCAACACACAGTGTGTCGATAATGAATGTTAACGTGTTTTTGAGAAATTTGTTTGATGAATGATTTTATGAATCTGAATAAATTATTTTGAACGAATCATTTGAATTAATGATTCAGACTAGGGCTGGGCGATATAGCTAAAAAATGTATCAAAGATAGTATGTTTTATATCGTTCGGTATCGATAATTATTGACATTTTTTATAACCTTTTTTTAAAAACAAAACGCAATATAATTTTTTTTTATTATTATTTAACCACTGTGTTTTTAATTTACCCAATTTATTGAGACAAACAACATTTTTTTTTTTTTTTAACAGTCAAACACAAAATAAAATGTAAACAAATATCTCCTTCCTTATGTGTTATATGCAGATTAAATAAGTCTTATGGAAACTTTTGGCTTGTCTCCCGAGGGTGCAATGAACAAAACAATGCAGCATATTAAATTGTCAATGCAATGAAATAACTGTCCATAAAAAACGTGCATAACGTCTAAATTAACATATATAAATCAAATATAATTTCATGCTGAATATGCGTTCTGTGTGAATGGCTTGGTTTCGGTTTTAACCCATTCAAGATCTTCTCCGCATTGAGCTTCTATATTTCGCTAATATTTTGAATGAATAATGCGTCTCGTGGGCTAGACTAACAAAACATTAAAATGCAACAACGTCACTTACATCATCATCACCACATCTCACGCAACTGACGACGCTCCCTGACGCACTCCTAACATTCAAATGCATTTTTTTCCTTAATTTTAAATTCGACTAATATAATTTTTTTGTTCACAATCTCCTCGTCACAGGCAGGCACAGCACTCATTTCAGCATGTGTTTGTGTTTGTGTGTGCTGTCTGCGTCACTCATAGCACGTG